GAAAAGTGTGAAAGAGTTGAAGATCACCTGTTATATGATCACTTACACCAAAACCCACAATCTAAGTAGTAGTGGCGGATTTTTATCCAAAGTAGCAGAAGAAATTCTACCTTCTCGAGAGGAAGTCGTAGGTGCGGATTAGAAAGAGTGTTTAACTGACTAAAAAACTATTGCAACTCTTCCATTTTTTTAGTAAACGAACTTCCTTGCAAACCAGTGTTCACAATACAATTTCCTTAAGTACCACGTTGTTAATGTTGTTTTGAAGACTTCTCATCAATAGGTTTGCCATGTAATTTCCAATAAGAACCCCGCACATAGCTAACTTTCTTACAGTAGTCATACAAAGGTCTCTCATTCTTTGATGACTTTTTTCATGTCGTACTTCATAGAACACTTCGCGGATTGAAGAAGAGGTCTGAGTCCCAATACTCATCCCTAAACTTCATCAAGATCCCGATGCAAGCTAGAAAAAAAATTAGAATATCCGACGTTGTTCAACAATCTTCTTGAATAAAGGGGCATCTTCTATACACCTCCATTAATGGGATTCGAACAAATCAAGTTGATGTCATAAGCGCAACATTAGAGTAAAATATTGAGTAACAATCATGTCTTCTTCTTTGAGATTGACAAGTTGACACTTAATCTCAAATAGGGCAGTCAAATTTTCCATATTCGAATATGTCGCCTTTGCAACACTTTAAATTTCAGTTGTTGTTTCGTACAACAAAAAAATTTCCCCCATGACAGGAATCATGGAATTTATTAGCCATGACATAATCGTGGTATTCTCACTTAGCCATGTCGAATATTCAAAATCTGTCATAGTAGGAACCATTGTGGTCTCTAAAAGATATTGTTGCTCGCGCCGATCAGTTATATAAAGGCAGATAAATTGGGACCAAGAGAAATAATTATCACCATTCAATTAGTGGTAGGTGATAAAGACAGAAGAAACATCAGAGAGGTTCGAACTGAGTGAATTAAAAAGGATTTCTGAAGTGACATATGATGAAGAAGAGGCGAAAGTCATGGTTGGCATCTAAGGTTAAATAGAAGGATTGTTCACCTAACTGATACCATATTGATAAAGGGTAATCATGTAATGACCCAATTTCTCAAGTCAATGTTCGAGTGTTGACCTGAGTTAATAATGGAAAAAAATAATTTGGACTCAAGTTTTGTTGAGCTTAAAATTAGAAGAGTTTTGGACCCTTTTGTAAGTAATTAAGGGTGTTGAGAAACTTGTGTGAAGTAGTGGGAAGTTGGATGGCTTTAAGAGGGATTTACCCAATTTTCAATAAAAATCAACTCTCAAGCTAATGGAAAAGATTTGGCCGGCTGCTACGGGTATGGGAAAAGTGACCTACTTGTGCCTATTTTCTCCATTTTTTATAATGGTCTTATCTTTTCATATATTCATTTTTAGATTTATTTTCCACCATTTTCATTAATTTTCATTCATCTCTCTTTTACTAAAAGTCACAAGAAGAAGTGAGTTGAGAGAAAAACATTTCTACCCTTCATTCACCATCCTACAAGCTTCAAGAAGGTAAATTTATAAGCATGTATTCAAAGGTTTCATGGAAAGGTGATGAAAAGTTTAGGATTGATGAGTTTGGCCATTGAGGAAAAACTTTTCTAAGATTTTGGAGCCATTTTGTATATCTTTACGTTCATTTGCATGCTTCCTTTGAATTACCATTAAGTAGTAATTTATGTATGCATGTTGTGTAGTGAAGGAAGGTGGTGAAGCTTCAAAGGTTAAAGGAAAGGAGAAGGTGGTGGAAAGCTAGGTTAAGAAACTTCTTTGTGTTCTTTCATCAAGGTGGTACCCTCTAACTCTTCTATTCTTCTTGAAAATTTATAAATATGATGCTTATGATGATAATGCATGCATGTTTGTATGTCTTTGGGTGAAAAGTGTGTTGGAATGCTTTAAATCATGGTTTTTAGAATCGGACCGGTTAGTGAACCGGTCATGCTATCGGTTCACTGGTTCAACCGATCGAACCGGTCCGACCGGTCGGAAGAACCGGACGACGTCATAATTATTTAAAAAATTAAATAAAAATACCAAAAATATTTAATAAAAAATAATTTTGTATATCACAAGTCATATTCAAAGCAAGTCATAACATATATGAGTTAAAAACCATAAAATCAAGTGAAACAAAATAATTCAAATTAACTACAAAATAATATTTAAGATAAAACATATTAAATAATAAATATAATTATATAACTATAATTAAAAAATAAATTTGGGGCTAAAAAAATCATAACAAAATAATATTGTTTGGTTTAATTTTTTTTTAAAATAATCTTACATGGCTAAGAAACATAGAAGAACATCCCAAAAGTCTAAAGAGTAAAAATATGAGAACAAAACAATCCACATGGCTAAGAAACATATAAGAGCATCCCAACTAACTTCTATAAATAATAGAGGTAATTTGACATTCAAAATCATGGAGCCTTTTGGTGAGCATAGAGTGAAATATTATTTCACTTCAATCAAGCTCGAATTTTAGGCTTCAATCGAGCTTCTAATTTTTTTTGAGTTCAAGCCTTTTCGAGTTCAAGTTTCAATATTATATTTCGAGTTCGAGTTGAACTTGATCATTTTTAGTTCGTGAGTTTAAGTCGAGTTGAACTTACTTTTAAAGTTTGAGTCGAGCTCAGCAATACTCATTTAACAAACGACGTCGTTTGGTTTAATTTTTTTATAAAAAAAACAAAATTGGCGGTTTTTTTTTTTTTTCCGTTTTCAGCCGGTCCGTTCGAACGGTTCAACGTTGCCGGACGGTTCACTAATAGCGGTTCAACCGGTTTAGTTTGAACCGGACTAGACAACGATTCCCGGTTGAACCGGCCGGTCCGCTCCGGTTTTCAAAACAATGCTTTAAATTAAGCCAAACATTTATTTTAGAAAATCTGTCCAGAAAAATTGTTTGAACGTGCAGTAACTTAAAAAAATTATAAATTCTATAAAAAATAATTAAGAATTTCTCGTTATATCTTGTAACTGGCATTAAGTCTAGTTTCGTCTAAAACAAATGGATACTGATTTGATATGTGTATGAAAAGATATAATTTTAAGTGATGAAATGTCAAAAATCTGGACAAAACAGTTTTAGCAGTGAATTTGAAAAATCACCAAAAATTCCCTAATAAATATTAGGAAGTAATCCTTACATACTTATAACCGTACATAAGTCTAGTTTAGTTTAAAGTAAAATGTTTTGATTTCAAGCTATATATTTAGAGTTATAAATTTTTAAGCGAGAAAATGTCAGAAGAGAAGGTAGCATACTATTTTGAAAACAACAAGGACAATGACTTAAAAAATTCACCATAAATAGTACGAGTTAAATTAGAAGTTTTAATTTCTATGGTTGGAAAGATTATGAATCTAGTTTCTTATAAAACAAATTGAACATAATTTAGAATTATAAATATTAATAGTGCAAGTTGCCATATTTGAAGGATTAATATTTTAGTCATGATTTAAGATTTTGTAAACCTTAAATGATCAAAATATAACCAAGCATAAAATACCTTGCTAGTTTGAAATTAGCATAAGACTTTGAATACTATTGTGTTATACTCGTGATTAGTTGTTTGATGCTTTGTTTGCGCGTAACCTTCGGGCTCTAACCTAATTAGCGGCTATATGTGGAGCTCAGGAAAACAAATCGGACACTCGAGATTTGTTTGATTAACAGCCATGAGTGGTGCAGGACTATTCGGATACCCGATTATTTGAGCACATGTACATTCTAACAAGTTTGATCAATTTGACAAGTTTGACCAATTTAACAAGTTTGACAAGTTTGATCTGTAAGTGACATGTTTATAAATTTTTAGTGACCGATGATTTGTTCGTTCGTTACTCATGTCATGTTTCTATGTATACGTTTGATTTGCATGCTCATATTTGTGAATTTCTTGAAGTGTAGTAGATTAGTGACAAGTGTGGTAGATTAGCTGTGTACCATTGAGCTTGCAAAGCTCAATGTTCGAATTATTTTTATTTTCAGATTAGTAGACTTTTGATCGTACATGAGAAGCATCATCAACAAAGGACTTCCAACATCCCGTATTCAGAGTATAATATATTATCTTAATTGGGCATTATATTCACATGATGTTACTTGTATTTTGAGGTCTGTAACTCATTTTAAAATATGCGACTATTTTGATATATATTTTTATGGAGCTCCACGTGTTTTTATAACTACTTTTAATACTATTTTAGTATAACTATTTGATGATATTTTTCTTACATATACATAAATAAATTTAATGTTTTATTGCTTTAATGACTTGAATGTAACATCTTGGTCTTCGAGTATTTTATATTCGAGATTAAGGTATTACATATCAGCAAAGCAAAGTGGAGAAGAAAAAAAGTCTCAATCGTACATTGATAGGTAAAAGTACATCATGTTTTATACAAAAAAAAATTAAAAAAGATTTTTTTATTAAAAATAAACTATGTGGTAGTTATCTTTATCTATCTATAAGAAAAGTTAGGAGTCGGTATTTCTAATACCTTATCTATCTAAAAAGAGTTAGTATTATGTTAAATTACTAACTAATATACAGGATCGACTTATAGCATAACCTACATTTTCTGTCGGGATCCTTGCCTGATCGGGTCAAACTCGGTTCTTCTGAAATAGGACCTGTTTTGCTTTAGAAAAAAACAAACTCTTTTTTTGTTCAAAATGAGTTTTGCTAAAGGGCATGGCCCATTGTTGAAGCAGGCTCAAAATTATTAACAGCATGTACCATTTTCTTACTAGTAATGTAAAATTCTCTATTTTCCACGTCCAAAGTTGTCTTACAAAATGTTCTAGGATATAAGCTTCGACAAAGAGTAGCTGGCTGCCAAGAACAGCATGAAACTGATACTTGGAGGAACATACATGATTATTAAACAAGAGTGTGCCGTGAAAAACCCAGAAAAAAACATGGTTTCATGTCGATGATTATGAACTATAAGTGTATAGACATTTGATGTAGCTAAAAGCTAGTTTTTAGTTTTACATGCACCATGGGGATTGCAAGGCGTCCCAGCCAGTGGCATCGACAAGATTGGTACCAAGAATGCCTGGGATCATTGCAAAATCTAACGACCTAGCAGCTTCTGCCCAAATGGAGTCTAAAACAGGCAAGTTCACACTCATGTTCTCCCAAAACCCACCGCTTTCATCTTCACTCCCCCCAAATTTGGCATTGTTCTCCGCCATGTTCCATGGAGAATCAATGTTCTCGTTGGGGAAACACAAGTCAACTGAATCATTTTTATTCAACGGAGTTGCATCATTGACCCTGATAATAATTGGGTTATTTGATGAACTCGTGGCGGTGTTTATAGGTCGGTTCCCTATTGCCGCGAGCTGAGAATTGGGTGGTGGATGGTGAGGGTTAACACTTGAGTGTGGCAAGTTTAACTTGGCATCCGAGCCGTAGAGTTTACGTGCGGCAGCATCGTAAGTCATAGCAGCTTCAAGAGCGGTGTCAAAAGTTCCAAGCCAAAGACGACCACCACGGTTGGGTTCACGAATTTCAGCCACCCATTTGCCCCAAGTTCTTTGCCTTACGCCTTTGAAAGTGTAGAGAGCATTCTCCGGACCTCCTTTTCCTCTCATGCACCCTTTTCTCGAGCCCGCTTGTGCAGGTTTCTTCACTTGTTTTCTTTCTCCAGAGCCACCCATGACCGAAGCTGACATTGTCCAACAACAAGCAGAGTCCAGGGTAGGAAAAATAACAAAGAACGTGATTGATAAGCACACTATCTGAAAGGGCTCGGTCGTATTTATATGAAAGAGAGAACTAAGAGCTGAAATGGGGGTGTAAGCAAGCTTTTCTAGAACGTGTCTTATGATGAGTTTGAGATTATACATGGCAAGGAAACCTTGTTTGCACGCGTCAACTGCAAAGCTCATTGGCATCTGCGATAGCCACACTTGGCCTAGATTCTATTCTGTAAACAAACCCCAGGGTCTAACAGGGAGTTTTGAGTTTGTGGACGGATAAAGATTAAGTGGGAATGACGTGTTTTTGGAGATAAGAACTTCCGAGGGTTCCAAACGAGGACAATTTATAAATGACAAATGAGAACGCAAAAATCAATTAATCTTGATGATTTTTCCCATTAATACACAGCTGAAAGTCTGACCCTAAAGCACCACATGCGTATCAGAAATTAGAAGAAAAGAAAGAATACAAAAACATATGATACACGAGACAATCTTTTTCATTCACCTAAGCACTTGATGATTTCGTAAAAAAAAAGTAATCATTTGCTTCAATCCCGTCAAATAGATGACAATGAGCACCTGGGTAGAAGTATACATATTCAAAACAGCGAAAACTTATGCACTGTAAATTGCAGCTCTAAAATATGGCAGTACTGAGCTTTTAAGGGAGTCAATCTTGTATCATTACGTGTATGGGCCAAAACAGTTTGAGGATTCATTGGCGATGGAGAAAATCTGGTGTAAGCTTCACATCGACAACTCAAATCCAAACATGTTGAATTAGTACATTACAACCGTAGTACTCCCTTCATCTCACATTTAATTCCAGTGCTTCGTTCGAATCTCTACACTTCCTTAGGGCAGCCCTTATCTCCTTCAACATCTCATTTACTTGGATGCCTTTCCTGCTCAATATCCAAACAACTTACAGTCAGACTGGTTTATCAATCTTGAACCTCAAAATCCAATATCAAGATGTAACATTAGAGATGCAAAACAACAATATTTAACAGTACTTACAAAACGCTAACACCAACAACAGCAGCTGGCCGGTGATAGTCCTCAATTCCTTTATCCATTTTATCTTCGCCAGAAATAGCTGAAGCCATATCACTTTCAGTGGGCAATGCTTGAAGTTCAACTCTAGAACTCGTTTCCAACTCAGAATGTACTATATCACATCCAATCTTTAAGATTTCTTCAGTTAAATGCGGAAGCTTATCTCTGGCCTATGGTAGCAACCACATATGTTTTAGATTTTGTTAAAAAGAGACATATCAGACATGTTATATGAATAACTCTCGCATATAAGACAAACTCTCAAGATAGGATAAAACCCTATAGGTAAGAGACCTACCTCAGGAAGGTCGATCTTGTTGAGTACTACAACATATGGTCGTTCTAGGTAATTTGGATTGTACATCCGCAGTTCCTGCAAATCATAATTGCTATGGTAAGTGGAGCTGAATTGAGGAGTATTCAGTTTGAGACATGATATATTTACACGTATATAGTAGCTGAGGCAAGACTTTTTTCTTTAACAATGTCCGTAAAACTTAAAGCACAACTTTAAATGCTTTTAAATGCCAAAATTGATGTCCAAAGTCTAAACACAAAATCACCCCCCCGGCAGAATTCGAAAAAGCTACAACTTATTAGTAAAACCAATTATTCCATCAATGGAAAAAGATGTAAATAAGACGATGAAATAATGTTAATGAAGTGAACATAAAAGAAGAAAAAATATGAACAAGGGAAGAGATACCTCTCTGACAGTTCTGTAGTCATTCAAAGGATAGTCAGCTGATGCATCGACAACATGGACCAAGACACGTGTCCTCCTTAAATGCCTCAAGAAATTGCGACCTAGACCCTAACAATAAAAATGTCTCAATTAGAAACAATATGATCAGAATAAGCAATTTAACAAGTTGAAAAAGACAATTACCTTGCCCAGATGAGCACCTTCTATGAGACCAGGCAAATCAGCCAAGGTTGCTTCAGATGAATATTTACCTGCTCCTAAAGCAGGGTCACCATCAAGCCGCCCAAGATTTGGCATCAATGTTGTGAAAGGATAATCAGCAATATCTGGTTTTGCAAGTGTAATGGCAGCTAGAAGTGTTGACTTGCCTGCATTTGGAAGCCCCTGCAGGAAAAACAAAATATCAGCATCTACATTTTGTAGCCAATTTGATGCACTCTAATAAGTTGTTACTATTTTTTATGAACTTCCCTAGCCACAAACACAGATTACAAGGAAATGCAAATCAAACCATGTTACATACAAATGCAAGAAAAATGGAAAATAATACGATGCAGTACTTACAACTAACCCAACATCAGCAACAACTCGAAGAATCAACTCCAAACTAACCTCCTCTCCAGGCTGACCAAGAACTAAAACCTACAAGAAGTAAAAATGAATTTTAACACAACAAACAGAACGAAATATTACCTTGTTAACCCCCAAAACCATGAGTTTTCATTCAAGTGTACTGTTCGTGATTAAAGACACCTTATCAGTTTCATCTCTCATCACATTTGTGGTTAAAGACATCAACTTTTTCCTTCCGTGTTCTGGCATTTCTAACAAGCTAATCTGCCACAAAACAAAGAAAATTAAACCATCAAACACTGTTTGATATTAAGGATACAAGTTATACAGCATGCTTAAGAACAGTATAGCCAAAAGAAAGGAGGTCTATCAAACAGAACAAGACCATATTCACTGAAATCTTAGTTATTATCAAATCGCTTTCTGAAAGCACACCACATTCTGTGTTTTATGATCATTGACCGAGAAAGAAGAAGGCATCAAAATACTAAACATGAGACTTGCCTTACTCAGACCATAAAATACAAAACGCCATTTTGACATTTTTCTGAGTTAATTTGAATGTTTCTATGGGTTTAAACAACTGAGTTATTAATTCTTACCCCTCCTTGACCACCCCTAGCAACAAGTACTTCATCACCAGGCTGCGCTAGGTCAGCCAATAACTTCCCACGTTTGCGTTTTACAACTGTGCCTGCAAATTAATACAAACTGTAAGAAATTGTGCATTCGGAAGCATCAAAATATTATTATTAATACCATCTCAACAGGCCATGCAAAGAACATAAAAAAGGGTTCTTCGCGGTATGCTCTTATATACTCGTAGATACTTTTAACAATTGAAATTCAATGTTAAAGAAGAAAAACCAAATGTTATAGATCGTATCAGCAGGGTAATATTACAAACCGAGAGGAACAGGGATACGCAACGTTGGGGCAGCAAGGCCATCACGTGACTGAGAAGTTAAAGCACCCATGGCATCGACATTGCCACCACGTTTTGCATTATACCTGCTCTTCTCGTGAAGTTCCAATAAGGTATCTTTCCCTTCATCAGCATAAATTACTACATCTCCGCCATGACCACCCACTGGAAGGATAAGTGACCCATCAAAATCCCTTTTATACGAAGGCTTCTTCTTTGACTTCTCTTTATTCTCATATTTTCCTTGAGGCTTCGCAGCTCGTTGTTGGTTAGGCATTGTAAGGACGGCACCGTGACCGCCATCACCCGAACGGACGGTGATGATTACTTGATCAAAATACTTATGAGGTTCTTTCAATAATGTCGTGGGGTTTGTCGAAGGCGACTCTTTGGTTTTTGTGAGTCTGGACTTTATAGAACAGAGCCTCCAGTTCCCAAATTTGCTTAAGTCCCAATTACGCCTACAGCAGGAGAAAAAAAGGAAATCACAAAATGTCATAAAAGATGGCAAAATTGGTTATGTTTAATGTAAAAGAAATCGGAGAAGTGAAATTGAATAGAGAACATAGAAAAGTTAAGATGCACACCTGATGCTTGTGGAAATGGGGAGGAGAGGACCAAAGAAGAGTTTGTCGATAGTGAGGCGTGGGGTGAGATAGGAGGAAGGCAGCGAAACCAGAGTCGCCATTATCTCAAAGATGAAAATCTGCGTTTTGGTTAAACTAAATAAAAAAATAGTTTTTAAATGGTTTATTGTATGAATCGGAGAGTATAAAATATATTTTACTAATATAAATGTTAAAAATAGTACAAATTATTTATAATTGAAAATTTTATTAGAAATGTATTTTTTTAAATTAGATAAAGTAATGTTTTAGATTGAAATTAAGAATATTATTTAATTTATAATATTTTCAATCGTAACTTTTTCAGTTACAAATTATAAACCCATTACAATATAACTTTTTCAATTACAATCATATTATATAGAGAAAATCGCCTCAGTGACAAAAATGCCTTATAATATACGATTTTAACCAACTTTTTTTGGATTTGCCAAAATGACCAACAAAATCGCAATGCGAAATAAAAATCGCAACGCGATCTCCAGAATCGCAAATCAGTTCCCAGAATCGCAATGCGATAGTACAAATTCGCATTGCGATTTTCCAGAATCGCAACGCGAATATGAAAATCGCAACGCGAACATATAAATCGCAACGCGATTCTGACTATCGCAACGAGTATCCGTAAAATCACAACGCGTATCCGTAAATTGCAACGACAATACGTAAAATCGCAACGCGTATCCGTAAATCACAACGAGAATACGTAAATCGCAACGCGTATCTGTAAATCGCAACGAGAATACGTAAATCGCAATGCGTATCCGTAAATCGCAACGATAATACGTAAAATCGCAACGTGTATCCGTAAATCGCAACGCGATCGATAATTCGCAACGCGATCTCCGGAATCGCAAATCAGTTTCCAGATTCGCAACGCGATTCTGACTATCGCATTGCGATTTCCCAAATTCGCGTTGCGATTTTTCTAATTCGCAATGCGAATACGTAAATCGCAACGCAAATACGTAAATCGCAACGCGAATCTGTAAATCGCAATGCGAATCTGTAAATCGCAACGAGATTCTGACTATCGCAATACTGAATTTCAAATTCGTAACTCGATTTCTGAATTCGCAACAGGTTTTAATTTCGCAACACAAATATTTTGGGTATATAACTATGCAGCAGCAGCAACTCATAACCTAAATCCCTAAATCGCAACTCATTCCATCTCTATCTATCACTCTCTCCGGCGACATCCGTTCCTATATCCAACGACATCCTTCCCCATCCGACAACAGGTTTTAGTTTCGCAGCTCGTTTGTTTAGTAAATTAATTTACAATAATGAAACCATCTAATGTTGATCATGTTTGGATAGATTTGTGTTTTGGAGGGTCATGGGAGAATGTTCATGGTGTTTTACAATATATGCCTTTACCCATGAATCTTCAACTAAAACTGTCATTAAAAAAGTTAACTTATGAAACTCTAATGTTACGTGTTGCAAATAAATTGAATTTAGAGCCCCTAAGTGGATTTAGGCTATCTTATCAGAGAAATGGTAAAGTTTATTTGTTAACCGACAATGAAGATGTTGAACGATTCATTGCTTACATTAGTGTTTCAAGTGATGATGTTACATTGTATGTTGTTAAACCTAGAAGTAGTGAAGTTGGGTCAGTAGCGGGTAGTAATCAACTAAGTTTTTCAACCCCAGTTTATGGTGCTCAAAATTTAATGGTTCCACCACAATTTCATCACCAAGCAAATATTGTTTCACCATATTTCCAATACCAAACGCAATCTCAAAACCCACAACCTTTCCCTAATCCAAATCCCAATCAACTTTCAACACCAAATTCCGATTTTCGTATTGACCAGTTAGACGATGATGAGCCAACAGAAAAAATTGTGAGTATTAGTCAGTATTCGAAATTTGATCTTGGTCAATACCCGGACTTTGATCTTGGTCAATACTCAGATTTTGATGATTTTTCAGAAGAAGAAACAGACCCTGCGTGTAATGATTTTGATATTGGTCAATACCTGAATTTTGATGATGAAACAGCCGTTGCCGAGGAAGATGTTGTTCATGATAATGAGGAGGAAGTTACGACTGTAAATGAACATATTGAACATCCATTCTGTAATTCATATAACACTAAAGAAGAAAAAGAAGAAGAAGAAATCCCCAAAGAAAAGTCCCGAAGAAAATGCCAGGGAGTATAACTGGAATATGCCAGAATTACTTCAGATACCGGAAGAAGAGTTGGTAAAGATAGCAGTTGATTGTTACACAAAAATTATTCGTATCAAGAAAAATGATTGTTTTGATACAAAGGAAGAATTGAAGATAGCTTTGTATACAAAATGTGTGGAAGATGTCTATCAACTAAAAGTTAACAAATCAAGCAAAGATCGTTTCGAAACAAGGTGTATGATTGACAAAAACTGTATGTGGCGTATGATTGCAAAGAGGATAAAAGATTGAGAAATGTTTCAAGTTAGGACTTTTATTGATAAACATACATGTTCAAGAACCCAAGTTTTTCCTCACCATAGACATGCAAACAAAAAGATGTTGGGTGGTTTTCTGGCTGAGTTAATGTTTTTGAATGGTAGGGTATATCGGGGACATGAAATTATGACTGACATGAATGCTCGGTTCAAGATTAGTATCTCATATTCTCAAGCTTGAAGAGCCAAATGTTATGCCTTGGAATTGTTGAGGGGGTCGCCAGAAGCATCGTTTGCCCAACTGCCGGCTTATTGTCACAATTTAAAGTTGAAAAATCCTGGGTCGGTAACTCATATCAAAACAGATAGAGATGGACGCTTTGAGTTGCTGTTTATCGCCATTGGTGCTGCGGTTAGTAAATCAATATAATTTTGTTGACTCATTTTTGTTAGTTACATGCATTTCACATTTAAATGATTATATTTCTTGTGTATATGATTTTGTAGATTCGTTCGTTTATTAATTGCATGCGCTCAGTTATTATAGTTGACGGAGCACATTTAAAAGGTCGATACCTTGGAGTAAACTTATTAGCAGTAGCCATGGATGCTAACAATGGGATACTGCCAATAGCTTACGGGGTTGGCAAATCTGAAACCTCTGATTCATGGATATGGTTTATGGGGCATCTTAGGGATTGCATAGGTCCTATTAGCAATCTGACAATCATATCCGATAGGGCAAACTCAATTGACAACGCTGTTAGAAGGTGTTTCCAGATGCTTTTCATGGACTTTGTGGTGTTCATTTGTATAGAAATCTAAAATCAATGTCTGCTGGTATAAAAAATCACAAATGGACATACTGGAAGGCTGTAAAAGCTTATCGGGGAGTGGATTTTAATAAGCATATAAACTGTTTAAGACGTGTTTTGCCTCAGTGTGCTCAAACATTAGAAGATGTCGGGTTTGAAAGATGGTCAAGAGTACATCAACTTGGAGCAAGATATGATTTCATGATGTCTAATAGTGCAGAATCAATCAATGCTCTAAGTCGTCATTCCCGGAAATTACCCATTACTACAAGAAAAGAAATCATGCAGGTATTATTTCTTTAAATTCGTAACTTATCATATATTTTACTAAGTATTAGTTATTTAAATTTACAGGAACATTGGAACATCGTGTTACACCATGGACAGAAAAAAAGATAACGAAAAGTGTTGTGAAGTCAACGTCATGGAGAGTTGAACCATGTTCAAACACTTTGTTTGAAGTACTGGATAATAACTTAAATGGGCTTGTCGATCTAAATGCAAAGACGTGTAGTTGTATGAAATGGCAAACATCTGGTTATCCGTGTGGCCATGTTATAAAAGTTTCTCTTCATCTAAACCAAGATGATTCAAGCGCATACGCTATGGATTGCTACACTACAGAAGTATATGGACAGACTTATGGCGAGATTGTCTACTATATTCCACATCCTTCTGAGTGGGACATATCAGATGACTTACAAACAGTTTTGCCACCAGCCATGGACAGAAGGCTACCTGGCCGACCAAAAAGTCACGATCGTATACCGTCTAAGGGTGAAGAGAAGAAGAGATCGACATGTAGTCGGTGCAAGGAAAGTGGTCATACAAGGTTGACATGTGGATCACCAGTGCCATCACAATCATCTTTTCCTCTACCAAAATATGGATCCTCATCAAAATCCAAAGCTCATATGGTGTCAAGCAAAAGGCAATCAAAATCGCAATCATCTTTAAAATCCCAATCACAACCAGCTTCACCTTTTGGGACTGTTAACTTAGGTGATTTTTAAATGCAAACGTTGTATTATGTGGATTTTATGTGTGAACTTTTAACATTTTCAGTTAGGCATGTATTAGTAACTTGAGTTTGAAAATTGCTATGATCTGTTCAGTTGTTATCACTTATTAGGCATTCATTTGACTATCGCAACACGGAAATGACGTTCGCAATCATCTTAATGTCTATCGCAACGCGGAAATTACTATCGCAACGAGAGAATCGCAATGCGAAATGAAAATCGCAACGCGAATATGAATATCGCAACGCGGAAATGACTATCGCAATGCGAAATGAAAATCGCAACGAGAGAATCGCAAAGTGAAATGAAAATCGCAACGCGAATTTAGTTTCGCGTTGCGATTTTAGTTTCCCGTTGCGATTTTGTCGTTGCGATTTTCATTTCGCATTGCGATTCTCTCGTTGCGATTTTCATTTCGCATTGCGATAGTCATTTTTGCCTTCAACATAATACAGATTGAAATCAACAAAATCAACCATTACATTTCAATCAATTAAACAAGCACAAATAAGAATTATGTTCACATCAATTAAACAAATCAACTTTTACAAATCATCTTTTACAAATCAATTAAACAATCAAAAAATAAGCAATAATTCTTATTTCCTCATCTACTATTGAATCAACTTTTGCAGCCATACATCATTTTCACGCAGTTCACTTCTGAGATTAACCTGCAGAAACCAAACATTTGCTCAAACAACACTTTCTACATATCTAAAACCTACAAACAGCAAATTATTGAATTCTAGGTACTTAACCAAACATTTTCAAACCAAAAGCCTATAAACTTACCAATTGTTTATGGACATTTTTATAACGCGGATGTAGGTAGGCAGCGTCTCGTATATATCGATCTAGCCATATAATGCCGAAACCA